TGTCTCAATGCGCTTTACGGACTTTACGGGCTGCATATTAAGGCGCTATTAGCAGCCGTGCAGCTTGCAATCATGAGTGATTTATTAGTACATTAGTGTTATGCCTCCAAATTGGGATAGGCTGTTGAACCGGGAGACAATCCCCTACTCTTACACGAATAATTCAACAGGTTCTTTTATGTCCCCCATTTACTGTAGGTTAGGAAGGGTTGGGAGACAGGGCCTACGGTTTTAAGTCCTTGTCCGAGAARACTTGAAGGTCTAACCATTTGCAGATTTTAATTACAAAGGCAGCACCTTCTCTTCAGTTATTTTAAGACGCTGAGTGTTGGTCCGGCCGAGGCTTGAACCACGACCTTCCGCACAACAGACCGAGAGAGAGAGAGAGAGAGAGCGCGCGTAGTAAGCCCACCCACGAGTATTTTGGTAGAAAACGACCGGTTGATTTCCTCTTCCTCTTTATCATTCCAGGTACAAAAAGTGAAGATTGTCTCTTTCTGAATATTTACAGACCGGCCATCATCAAGGAAAACACTACACTCGCCGTTATGGTCTGGATACACGGCGGAGGCCTTTATCATGGCTCCGGAAGTTTGTATGATGGCTCGGTATTGGCCAGCTACAATGACGTCATCGTTGTCACCATTAACTACCGACTTGGTCTTCTTGGATTCCTCACTATACCTGGAACCGAGCTCACGGGAAATTATGGGATGCTGGATCAGGTGATGGCACTCAAATGGGTCAAGGAAAATATTCGTAGTTTTGGCGGGAATCCAGATCAGGTGACCTTGTTTGGCAATAGCGCCGGTGGCTCGAGTACTGATCTTCACATACTGTCGCCCTTGTCAAAAGGACTGTTTCAGAAGACAATTGCTCAGAGTGGCTTTGCTACCACCGCATACGTGACGGTTTCGTCTAAGCATTCCAGAAGATATGCCCATTTTGCAGATAAGCTTAACTGCAAAGATAAAAAGCAGATGTTGAGTTGCTTGCGAAGTGTAACGGTTGAAGAAATTACCAAAGCCCAAGGTATTTGTGATTATTTGAAACTGGGAAGTCATTTGCCTGTTCAAATCGTTGATGGAGTCTTCCTGCCAGACAAACCCTCAGTGCTTTTGTCACAAGGACGATTTAACCCTATAGAAGCTGTAATGTTTGGAGCTAACAAGGACGAAGGAGTTTCCAAACTCCACGGAGTACATCCAGATCCGAACGTTCCTCCTAGCAGAGACTCTTTCCTAAAAACGTTCAACAGTATATTCTTCATGGGCGAGGAAGCGAATGACATAACAAAAGATGCTATCCTTTATAAGTATACCAATCACACTGAGCCAGACTCAAAGGAAAATCTTCTTAAAAACTGGAGAGATTTGATTACAGACAGCTGGTATATCTCCCGTGCTGTGTTTTCGGCTCAAAACTATGCTAAGGCTGGCATAAAGACCTACTTATACCGATTCTCTCACAACTCAAAATACTCTACTTACCCACAACCCATTCCTGGTGTCTACCATTTTGACGAAGTGCAGTATATATTTGGCGTGCCATGGAAACATAACACTTACGTTTCCAAGGCAACGTCTTATACTGATGTTGAGAGGGGACTGAGTGCTTCAATGATGAGGCTTTGGGCTAATTTTGCTAAGTATGGGTAAGTCTTTTCGGATGATTTGGAATGATTTCTTTTGTTTGTTCTTTTGTTCTTTTCCTTATTTTTTTCCTCTTTCATTTTTCTAATTTCATATTCAAGCAATATTTTTCCTTCCTTCCTTCCTTCCTTCCTTCCTTCCTTCCTTCCTTCCTTCCTTCCTT